GGTGAGTTCTCATAGGTTAGAGGCCCGCCTCAGAGGTGGTTAATTTTGAAGGTTAGCAAACACCTGAGTTAGCTTTGTTCTGCTCTTTCTGCTGATTCTGCTTTTCCCGGGATCCACTGATTGCCTTTTCTTGTTTTCTTTTTCGATTCCCTCACATCCTTTGCTTTTCACATTTGTATCAATTATTTTTGTCATTTTTTTAGTTACGTTTTTATTTATCGCAAGTAATATCGTCATCGCAATATTAATCACTGTTATTGCATATCGCAGGTTTTCCTAATATCGGGCAGCCCTATTAAAATGTCACTTATAACGTCGGTTGATGCACAAAATTTCTGAAGCTGAATCAGTTTTTGAACTCGGAATTAAACTAATTGCTAAATCTTAAAGCTGCTTTCCGGAGTTTTCCTCTTTCAGAAATTACGTACGATTTGTCAGAAATCTGTAAAAGTGATTATCTTATCATGTACTGTGATATAATATAAGCACTACATCTTTTTATTTTTATTTTTTTGCTAAGCACGCCCCCTGCCCGGCCGAGCTCCGTGCAATAGGAAACTGAGTGCCGACCAGAACTAACCAATAGCGTTAGACTACCGCTTAGACGCTTCACATTTAAGGAATACCTCGGCTGATTCAGAGCTGATGAACTTTTCACGGACAAGAAAGTCTCTAAAATATAAATATATGAAAACACAACATGACATGAGTATAATACTCGTAAAACAACGTGTTTTAGCTGTTTGTCTGCTATAGAAACACATTTATAAACTAGAAACGTGAAGTCGCCATCTTGAAAAAAAAAAACGAGGAACAGCGTTTTTGTGTGATACACTTGTCAGCCACTAGATGGTGCCATCGGATAAGAGAAGTACTCCGGAAGGAAGCTTTACCTTAGTGCACTGCTCAGTGTTAAAGTCAGACACCTAAATAAAGTTACTTTGGAGTATTTGTTATCCAGATGTTATTAGTAAACATAAAAATACATTTTAAATGATTTCTCCAACAACAGTGGGCTGCCCAAGGATACGCCTGCCTTTAAATCGGCTTTACTAAGGACAAATACCAGCTGATACCGATGTATAAAAAACTGTAAATATTGGCCCGATACATCGATAAATCGGTCTACCCTAGTTCACAAATAAGTAAGGCATCTGATTCGGTTAAAAATCCTTAAACATGTAATATGATACCAGATTAAATGTAAAAGGAGGAATAAACTGATCAGCTCTGATTACCTGACTGTTTGCAAAGAAAAAGACCAGATGATGGAATTGCAAATGGACTATAAATGATGCCATGAGCTGTTTCCAGTAGCTCAACATAGGCTGAAAGCAGCAGTAAACATATAATTAATCACATTAATATATCAGCGCTCTTAATTATGAGGGAGTCACTCCAGAAAACCCGATCTAATCACCTATGTAGAAAGATCTCAGCTCATTTAAACTATCTCATAAAGATATTTTCTAGTGAATCTAAAAGAAATAAAAATGCACAAAACCAATTGTTCCAAACAATCAAAGATCTCCAGTGTTTCTGTAAAACACATCAAAACACAACTCCAGACATCACGGAGTCGGGTTCCTGTGACTCGAGATGAACAGAACCTCATTATTTATTAAGGTACGGCACTGAAACACTTATTAACAGCCTGATCCAATGTTTGTCACTTTAAGGGTTTCAAACAAAAACAATACAATGATACATTTAAATGTGCAGCTCAAATAGAGTTGTATACAGTGATGTAAACGTGCAATCTGAGCACAATGTGCAACATCGCCGTAAGAAATCTCCCCATAGAACCACGTAAGTAAACCCCGTGCCCTTGGAGCTCAGGTAGACTTCATAGCAGAAACAGCATTTTGCTTCTTATGGCTGCATCTTTTTAAGTTTCTCTTAAATCCTCTCCAGTCTGCAGAGTATGCACCTCCAAGCTTCCATATACTTTAATTACGCTTTAGCTCAAAGTATTATCTTCAAAACTGTAAGTTTTATCTAGGGCTGAATCGATTCCTCGAGTACCTCGAATAATTCGAGTACAAAAAATCCTCGAGTCAAATTCTCTGCCTCAAGGCTTCGTTTAATTCATGTTTGATTAGTTCATGGCTTTGCAATCGCCCGGGGTCATGTTTCACCCGGACCGAAATAAGTGACGCACTATACACACTGCACTGAATGCACACGCGAGTAGCGAATGTAACTTAACTTTCTCTTAAGCCATGGCGGACAACGTGGACCCCGGTGGAGTGCGAAAAAGACGGAAAATGTCAAAGGTGTGGGACCATTTTTCACGTTGTAAGGCGGAAAACGTAGTCCAGTGTAAATACTGTAAAATGGATTTAGCCTACCACAACACCACATCCTCCATGCTGCAGCACCTGACCAGGAAACATCCACATGTAAATGTCACTTCTGTAAGCGGACTCGGGGCCTCTACAAGATAATGCATTTTAGCCTGTATTTCTATATATTCTGCAGGAAACTGCGACTTTTTCATTTGTAGCACTCAGTTTCAGCTCACACCGTACGTCTGGTAGCAACACGTCGGACTTAAAATGTGCTAAAAATAGCAGTTTTTACACAATACGTCGGACTTTTTATTGTGTTGTTATTGATATTTGTTGTCCCTTGGGATTGCTGCAGGAGGACACGGGTATTTATGAGTGGTGGAGGAAAACAAAAGACAGTAAATAAATGTTTTGTGATCAGTATAATTTGACAAAACCACGGCAAACATGCTTTCTCGACAATCCTTGTTAGTGTGTGTGAGAAAAAAAGTGTAGAAATTAAAACGGACGTGTGTTAGGGAAACAGCTGGCGAGCTGTTTGTGCATGCGCCGTGAGCGGTTCTGGTTCTGTTTGGGCCGCAGCCGCTCACAGCGCTACTTCAACAGTTATCCTCCTAGTTTTTGCCCGGCTTGCCGGGCTAGCAGATTCTCGCACGAGGGGAAAATTGGCCCACGGTTGTATACTTATTTTTTGCACAGGCATTTGTTTACTGTGAAGTAAAGTTGAAGTGCTGAAGTTTTGAAAACTAATTGTGAATAAAACGTGAAGAATAACTGGCAATTGCTAGCTCCTTTTAAGAGGTCTTTCATATTTTATAACATGAATGGTTTACAAACACAAAAGGGTCATTTATTAGAGTACTCGATTAATCGATAAAAGATTCGATACAGTACTCGATTACAAAAACATTCGATAGCTGCAGCCCTAGTTATATCTATCTGGCTCGTCTCCCAGCGCAAACAGGAAATACAAAACTCGGTGCAGCAGCCTTGGTGAGTGATGAGGCCTGCTGAAACACGAACTAAGATTAAAAACCACAAAGCACACATTGACCCAGAGACTTTTAAAAATTTAGAAGAACAACTATTTTTGATCCACCGGATGATGAGAATACATGTAATGACCGCTTAGCGACAGAGCAGCAGCCAGCTAGCGGTAGCGACACCTGTTAACTCTAGAAACTCACTGATTCAGGGTTTCTCAGTGCTTTATAAACCTGGCAGCCCGCCAGGCTTTGCTTGGCCACCCGCCAGGCTAAGCGTCATGCCCCGCCCCCCTCCCCGACCCTACCGTGTCCGCTGGCACGAACGGCACAACGAAACTAGAGCCCTCCATCAGCTGATACTGGTGAGAAACAGCTGTGAAATGTGTGCAACCTCCCCACCCCCGCCCCTGACGGCCAAATCCACCAGGCTTAACTCATTTTCTGGGGGAAATCCTGCTGGTTGTATATTTAAATCGGCATAAACATTACATCACCTTGTTTCCTGTCTGAAATTTATATCAGTATTTTAAAAAAAATCCTAATGCTGCCCAGTCTAAGATACTACTGTGATATTAATTTTTCATTTGTGGTTGCTATGGTGACCCCAATGAGCCACTTGCAGCAGCTTTAACATTTCTTTACATGTTGGTTCTTGTAACACTTTGGAAAATAACATCTGGGCACTTTGAGAGTAGATGGTTACGAAGCTGATGGAGGGAGGTTTTTAAGGGTGCCACAGCCAGTTAGTTTATTTTTCACTCCTGACGAAAAGAGGGGATTTCAAACTGATAGAAAACCAATTACCAAACATCTCATAATGGCCTCTGAAGAGCAGAGTTTAGAGCCAGTATTGGCTCCTAATCTGTGGAGAACAAGTAATAATATGAGGTGCTGAAAGACAAGCAGGAGTCAGATGTAAGGAGGCAGAGGTGGGGAGGGAAAGGAGAGGAAACAAAAGAGTAAAACAGTCCAGCAGGACAGATGCAGAGCTGTTTGACTACACACACACACACACACACACGCGCGCGCGCACACACACACCTAGAGCAGCCTGGTGAGCAGGTACAGTCCAGCCTTCCTGATGACTTTAGCAGACACCTCACCATAAAGACTCCAGTCTGAACTGGTTCCAGTGAGACTCCCAGTCCCATAAATAATCCATGTCTCCCATTCAAACGTGTCATGTGAACGCTTGTGAGAAAGTTCAGACCAGCTGTTTCTCCCATCTGCACGTTCAGACCTGGCAACCATCACACCCAACCTGGCAGCACCGACAGAGACGTTTGAAAGGTCTCACGCGTAAACGCGCAGCTGATAAAGAGCTGGCTGGTTCCTTTACGGTTCTGGTTCTGGTACGGACCGACTGTAGGCCGGTGAAGATGACTAAAGCGCAGCAGCAGCAGGAAAAGGCCTGATTTGTGGGCATCTGGTATTGAACATCGTTCTGTCGCTTTATCTGACGCATAATCAATACGTGGATCGGTTTTTATCAAATAGGAAAACGTTGATGGAGCCATCCTTTCAGCACCGAGGAACCAGAACCTCCTCCAGCTTTGAGCGAAGACCGCAACAAGGTCCGAGCGGCTCCAACCGAACCTGAGAGGCACACAGCAGCAGAACCCGCAGCCCACCTTCACGCTTCTGTTTGCACCAGGGTTCTTTTATCAACACAAAGCCCGTTCACGCACACCGCACCGCACGCATCTCTAGGCACACCTCTTACTCTGCAGTCGTATTTCAGCTGGGTCTGCGGCTCTCTCCGCGGAGCTCATCCGCCCATGGTGCCGATCTCACTGAGAAACGCTTCCGTCGAACTCCGTCTGGTCCACGGCGCTGGCAGAACCGCTCGTGGCTGGCTGAAGACTCCGAACCGCTCTGCCCTCACGGCTCCGCGGCTGATGTGGGTTTGGGAAGGCCGGGTGGTTCGAAGAGAGGCGCGGGCACAGCGCAGCCTGCCGGAGACCTCACACTTTCATCAGCTCGTGCTCGTGGCTGGGTGCGCTCACGCGTGTTCGTGTGTGTCTGTCAGTCAAAAATCTCACTGTTACACTGACAGCCTGGAGGGTGGACTGGGTGTGCGTGCGCGCGCGGCTGGGTACTTTAAATCACATAAAACCTGCTTTTGACTAGAAAGGACAGCAGGTGAAGCCAGGGCCGGAGCTGATGGATGGCCTCGGGGGGGGGGGGGGGGGGCTATGAGAGGACCCATGCTCCTGTCAATCACTTAGCATATAATAATAATAATCATCATAATAATAATAGTAACAATAAAAATAATAATAGTACATGGTTACTTTTCATAAAGCATAACATTTGTTACACACACACACACACACACACACAGCATTCTGCTGGTGTTGGTAAAATTATAACCACAGCAGAATTCCCAGGGAGGAGCTGAAATCCAACCGTCAATCCTCGGATTATTTTTAGATAACATAGCCTATGGTAGATTGCAAAGACAAATTAAAGCTGCAATGGTAAATCTGTGAAACAACACGGTCACAGAACTCTCACCCCTCCCATTAGCTATCATCCCTTGGCCACGCCCCCCTGATATGGGAATGGACATTGCCAGAATAAAAAAAGAGCACTATACATCAGTCTCTGCTTTAGGTCCAAACGTCTTTTGTTGTACATGAGTTCAAATTATGGTTTTCTTTTTGCTAAGCTGAGTCCCATTCTGTCCTGCTCTTAAACTGTTCTCCACACCTTCATCTCCTCACGCTCCAAACACTCCCACATCACCCTGCTTCTCCTCCAGCTTCACTGGCTGCCAGTCAACTTCAGGGTTCATTTCAAGATCCTGGTTCTGGTCTATAGGGCCTTACATGGACAAGCACCATCTTACATTGGTGATCTTCTGAGTCCCTACACCCCCAGCAGGTCCCTGAGGTCCAGTGACCAAAGCCTACTGGGTGTGCAGCACCAGGCTAAAGACCAAAGGTGGCAGATCATTTGCTGCTGTGGCCCCCAGACTCTGGAACTCTCCCCCTGAGCCTGAGATCAGTGGACTCAGTGGTCTCCTTTAAAAAGCAGATGAAGACTCACTTGTTCAAGCTGGTTTTGGTGTGACGTTCATCATGTCCTTATTCTGCTATTTCTGCCAATTCTGCCTTTGTAAGGATCTATCGATGACCTCCATTTATTATTTTCTCTTTCCCTTTCCTTACATTTTTAACATATTTTTTACTTTACCCAATTTATTATACTTTGTAGTCATTTTTTAATCTGTTGTATTTTATTTTTATTCTTGTAAAGCACCTCGTGATTTTTATCTTAAGAGGCAATATAAAACATTGTTTCTTCTTGTAAAGTAGAGGAGGTAGCGTTGGGTTTCAGCGCTTTCTCCTTCTCTGATATCACTGAACCTGTCACGCCAGTGGTGTTCTGCTGAAAAATGTGCACATGCATAATGAGAGGACAGGTTATTTGAGACAGACAACAGGATAGGCCAATCGTTGGTTTAGAACCGAGCCGTGTTATTGGCTAAGGATTTTATGCAAATGCAAGAGAACCACTTTATTATAAGTTTTTACACCACAACATATTTTTAGCTATATTATGTTAGAACGTTGTTAAGAGGCATGAAAAAATAGTTTTACAGATTTACCGTTGCACAATATAGAGAGACATTTTACCTTCACAGATCACACACCAACCATTCCACCTCTATCTCCAGTTATTATAATAAATGTCAGAATAACACTTGTTACTTTCAAACGTTCCAGATACATCTCTAACTGGTATTTGTTAAACACAAACAGGAGGTGACCATAAACAACAGCTTATGATATTTAAAGATCTCAAAGTTTATATCAAAGTGTTCATGAAGGCAGCTCAATGGGATGTTCCAGCCTGCTTTACCCACATGACTGATGATGAAAACCAGCCAGATGAAGCACAATGAGGGCACACTGTTCCTGCTAATTGAAGTTTTTAGTTATTTGTCTAAAATGATCAGTAAGTGAGAAACTAGCTGATATGGAGCTCCCAACATTTTCAATGATTGTTGGTCTCCTTGAGCCAACTTCCACTTTCTGGTTCTTTTCTCTGGTCCAGCCGTGTCTGTGTCGTATTACAGAACACGAGAAGCTGAGTGCCTCCATACTGATCTAATCAATGAAAACAAAACCTTGATTGGGACATCCCTAGGCCGAAATCATTTAAATGAGACTGAAAAATGTAGCTGCCAGTTAGCCTAGAAATCAGAATGATTTTTCTCTGCATCACGGTCTAGCCACACTCCACAGGAGCCTCAGCAACTCTACCATTGACCTGAGCAGTTTTGTGTTGTACGCCAATCACAGCGCTCAATTGGTGTGGTGGGCGGGATGATGCAATGGAGTGGAACAAAGATGGCTTAAAACGGCTTTGGCATCAAATTTTGGACTATTTAGACTTTTCTTTGAGTTAAAAACAGATAGAGGTACTTAATCATTTTAGTTAGAAAAAGGATGTGGTTCTTTCTTCTTCTATGGTGTGTGGTGGACTGCCCCGTTGACTGACGTCTGTAGTGGTGAGTTTGTAATGCTGTTTGTTGTCCAATAGCATGCGGAGATGGTTTAAAAGACAACCGTAGATTACGTCCCATGACCAAGCTCAGTCTGGGTTGTTGTCGGATTATGTATTCATGTTTATGGGATGGCTTGCCAGGCAGAATGTAGCATGAATTTACATCAAAGCAACAATCCACACCAAAGGTTATCTCAGAGCATTTTACAGGTCAAAGGTTAACATTTTTACTTCCAGGACGTCAGTGATATAGCAGGCAGTGCCGTTACCTCTGATTCAAATCTTGGGTTCTGTTGACATCTGCATGGTTTGCACACACCCTTTATGTAAGCTTGTATTTGTATTTAAAGAGCAAGTCACCCCCTACCAGAGTCTAACTCCACTCCCACTTCATGTTTGAAAAATGCAACAAATGCTGTTGCCTGGCAGACCGAGAGGGTGGAGCCGCTAACAAATACACACACACTCAGGCTCACGACAGCATTGTGACATCATAATGTACCAGTTTACATCATAGCATACTTCTTAGCCAATAGCGGTGGCAGATTTAAATTTAAATACAATGCAGAGATTTTACCTGACAACGGCACAACACTGCCAGTTTTAGGCAGAATATTTAAATTTTAACTAAGATGCACTGAAGTGCCAAATTATTGACGACACGTGTCTGCAGCACGATTAGACACTCATTTATTTAGTTTATCAGCAAAAAAAAAGTTTATTTGGGGGTGACTTGCTCTTTAAAGTTTCTTCTGAATGGGCTGGATGGTGGCGCACAGTCACCTCGCTGTAAGGTTACTATTGCAGCTCCAGCCTTCTGGGTGGAGTCCAGGAACTTTGGCTTCATCCTACACATCAAAACATGCATGTTAGGTTAACTGAGGAGGTTCATTAGCCCTAGGTGTGTGTGATTGTATGACTGGTTGTGTCCTCGTGATGTACCTGTCTCTCATCTGAAGACTGCTGGAGACAGACACCAGCTCTCTGCGACCCTACTGAGGAAAAGGCGGTATAGAAGATGAGGTCACCTTGGTCAGATCTGAGACATGATCAAAATGTCCTCACATGCAAAGAGAATTGCTGCTGTGTTCCCTGCACAAGCTGGACTACTGGATCCATGAGTGATACAGAGTGCTGCTGCTGGTGAAATCCAGCATAAATAATCTGTCAGTTTTAATTGTTGGCTATTAATTGGGTTTGGAAGTTGCCAGCAGTTCTGGTTTTCACAAAGACCAGCCAGTGGGTCATCAGTCCATGGAGGATATACTCTGTCTCTCTAAACAGAGGCTGTTCAGGAAGTCATCAATTAAGCTGTAAGTATTTTAGTTGTTTTTACATATAAACACCCTTCAGAATAGCTGGATTATCCTTGTAGGTTAAATCAACGTTCAAAGACATGCCTAGCATGCATTAGCAACATTAATAAATATCGATGTGTTGCGCAGCCACTGCCTGACCAGTAGAGAGCAGTATTGAGACATTAAAAGTATTGCAAATCAATGTGTTCCCAGTTACAGTAAAGATATTTATCATCCTAATAATTCGCTTTGATCACCATGTCTCTCAGCAGTGGAGTAAAAGGTCTCACTCCAGCCAGACCTCACTGTAAGATTAGTCAAAGAGGAAAGTTCATGAGTAATCTAGAAGTCAGGAAGTAGCATGGAAATTGCATCCTAACCATCTCTCTGGACCAAAAAGCGGTCATGCAGTTCCTAGGGCTGGTTGGCTACTACCTCCAATTTATCCTGGACTTTGCAGCTGTAGCCAGGCCCCTAACCGGCCTAACTGGAAAGGGGCCTCAGATTTGGTTCTCTGGACCATAGCCGCCCGGTGCTGTACATCAGCAGGGAACTGTGACACTGCACCATCAAGCAGGAATTCCTCCACCTGTACCTCCTGGAACAAGCCTGTAAACTCTGTGGCACGCGCCACTGCAGAGGCTTCACCGTATGACGAATACCAACGCACGCATCACCCGTTGGTATCATGCCTCTCAGCCTTTCAAGTTATGGGTGATCCACAGGTCAGGTGCTTGTACCTCCTGGATTATTTCTTTTTGTTAACTTTCCCCCACCTCTCTTTTATTCTTCCCCTTCCTTCCCTCCCACTGAGTCCGCTGGGATTTAAAATAAGCTGAAAGAAATCCTAACAGCTTAATAGAGGAGGCTGTAACAACACACCTGTGGAAGTAATTCTGTAAGGCCTGATTTTGGCACTCTGACACCCATTCTGATTGCTGTACTGCTGGACAGGACACAGAGGAAAGGGAAACAGAACTAATTACAGCCCATCCATCCATCCATCCATCCATCCATCCTCGTCCGCTTATCCGGAGTCGGGTCGTGGGGGCAGTAGCCTAAGGCAAGAGGCCCAGACTTCCCTCTCCCCAGCCACTTGGGCCAGCTCCTCCGGGGGAATCCCAAGATGCTCCCTGCCAGGTGAGAGACATTGTCCCTCCACCGTGTCCTAGGTCTACCTTTA